GAGCTGCCTGAGAGAGGCGTGGGATGACCAGACAGGGCACCCAGAGGGCCTGAGACGGCTCAGCAGGGCTGGGAATTAGTTGCTGGGGGTGAGTGTGAGTATGTGAGTGTGAGTATGTGAGGGGGGGGGGTGTCTCCCTTTCTGGTACTGAAATTGCCTTGTGTCCACCACAGACTGACCTCTAGAGAAGGGGCCTTTCACGAAGCATGTGGGAGTCCCAAACCCAAACATAGGGCTGAGGAGGGGGTGTGGGTCTCGGGTAGGGTGGGAGCTGAGAAATCTCCCATCTCAGTGTCCTGCAACACTGCTGCTGGGGCCACCTGTGGTGACCCCTCAGCTGTGCCTGCCTCCCAGTCCAGGGTGGGGGTGGGGGGGTAGGATACCAATGCCCATCGAGGGGAGCTGCTCCCATCAAGCCCTTACGCTGAGCTGGGGGAGGCAGAGGCAGTTTGCAGGCTCTGTGGCTGAAGGGAAGGTGGGAGGTTGGAATCCACTGAGAGGTGCCCGAGAAGAAAACCCTGGAAAACAACAAGGGAGACCCCAGTCCCTGGCCACCCTGCACTCATGGCACTCCCCTGACTGACACCTGTGCGTCTGCCTGTGGTCACAGGACCCAGCCCCGACAGCTCCCCACCCCACATCCCCTCCTTTTCCACAGACCCTCGGGGCCCTGGTCTCTGCCAGTGTGGCACCTGGCAGTGAACAAGGCAGCTCAGAGGAGATGGGCATTGCAGACAGACACTCAGGCAGACAGATGCACGTGGTGGCAGCTGGTATGGGAGCTCAAGATAGAAGGCTGGGGCCACCTCAGAGCAGTCACCTGGGGAGGGTGTGTCCTCCCCCAGAGACTCTGTCCCCGACCGACTGGCTGGGCAAGTCAGTCAGGGTGGACCACCCCCTGGATGAACCATGACCACTTGGGTTCAAGGGCAGTGACTGCAGTGACAGGCCAGGTAGCCCAGAATGGGGGACTGTGTGGATCCAGAAGTGGGCTTATAGAGAGAAGGGTTTAGGTGGTAGTTTTGAGGCATGAAGGGGATGGTGAAGCCAGCCTGCGAGGCTCACTCACAGACGTGGGACTGGTGGGGGTACTCCTGGTGGGCTTACACCCACGGCTGTCAACCCCCATCCCCAGGCCTGCTTTAGACTCCTCAGGGACTGCACATCCCCACAGGAGAGATCCTCTCAGGCCAGGGGTCCTCTATGCCGGGACTTCGGGGCTGTCGTTTGGGAGGGTGGGGGGAGGGTGGGGAAAGAAAAGCTTCCCCTTAACTGATGGGGTGTGTGTGTGTTTCTCTTTCTGAAAAACCTTACAATTGAAAGGGCTGTTCGCAACCCCAGAGGTTTGCTCCTGAATGCTCAGCATCTGTCTCAATTTCTGTTTCTCTCTCCCCTTCCCTCCCTTGCTGCTGCTCTCTTTGAATAAAATCCCCTTCCTTCCATGAGGTCAATGAAGATGGGAAGAGAGGTTATCATCCGCCTGGTGCCCGGCACGCTCCTTTCAGAGCCCCTGGTACCCCAGGTGGGGCGGGCGGACACGCACACGCACACTCAGTACCAGCCGCAGGATCTGCAGAATCCGGGTAAAACGGCCTCATGGTCCTTTTCAATTTTCAGAAAATGACAGGCCTTTCATTCCGACACCCAGTCACGGTCCCCAGAATAAAGGGTTCTGACTTGGGGGCTGTGCCCCCTGCAGAGGGCATTTGGGAAGACTGGGGTCTGGGGGTCAGCCCTGACATTCGATGGGTGGTGTGGTATGAAGAGAAGGGAGTCAGGGGTGCTAAATGCCCTGCCACTTCAACAACAACTTCAGGCAAGAAAAAACCACGCAAGCCTACCTGTCAACCACTGGTGTCTCCCTCACCCCCACACTACAAAGGGGCGGGTGTGGAGGCCCTGCCTGGCCCTTGGTGGCAATCTCTGCTCCCTTTCCTGTTTTTGCAGTCGCCAGACACCAGGGGCGCTGTTTCACACCAAGGTCTAATTTTGTTTTTTATCAATACTCTCTACACTGATTTAATAATGCTCCATTTAAAACACTGTGCCCAAACTCCCAAACCAAAGTCACTGCCACTGAGTCGATTCTGACTCACAGTGACCCTACGGGACAAGACAGAACTGCTCCTGTGGGTTTCTGAAGCTGTAACTCTTTCCAGGAGCAGGCAGCCTCATCTTTCTCCCATGGAGTGGCTGGTGGTTTCAAACTGCCAACCTTGCAGTTAGCGGCCTAATGCGGAACCCCTACGCCACCAGGGCTCCTTTACACAACGTATATGCCCAGAAATCCAAGCATTTGCAATCCATCACTCTACCACATGAACAAACACCTGACGGAAGAGCCTGCGGTCCCTGGGCCCAGAGCTCCCCTGCTCTGCACCCTCCCCACCCCAACAGACCCTGAGTTCAGCCAGACTCTTACCGACTTCTGGCTCTGCCTTGTCTGTGTCTGAGGGCATGTTGTCCTGGGGCGCTCCCTTCTGCGGGGCCGGGCTGGAGAAGACACCCATCGGGGCCCATTCCAGGTACAGGGGCACGTGGTGGAACTGCAGGGACAGGGGAGCCAGGGAGTGGGCTTCCCAAGCCGAGGCTGGGAGGGGCTTGGCTGAGGAAGATGTGGAGGTGTGGAGCTGGGAGAAGGCGGGCCTGGAGTCCATTGTGCGCCTGATCCTGTGCTAACACTTGGGGCCCCGGGGTGAGGTCACACCTCATACTACATCAGAGCATGAGGCCTGGAGAGCGAGGTGGGGGGGTGGGGGGCGGCCCTCCTGCTTACAGGACAGTGGGAGCCTGTGCGGGCTCTGCTCGCTAGGTGCAGAACCCTGAGCCAGATGCGCATTTGGGGCAGGGTTGGGGTATGTGTGTGACCTCATTTTCCGCCGTAATGCCCAGAACCTGGGGATGGGGCTCTTTTTGGGAAGGGGTCTCTGCAGACACCACTGAGCCAAGGATGAAGACATGAGCTCATCCTGGATCAGGTGGGAGGGAGGGTCCTCTTCTTACAACACTCCGTGCACAGACAGGGAGAGGAGAGGCCCCGAGAAGACAGGAACAGACTGGAGGGGTGCTGCCATGGCCCAGGATGGGATAGGGCAATGCAGGCTCCTGGACTGGAGCCACACGGCCACTGTGGGCTCCAGCCACCAGAACCGCAGAGCAGTTGTTGTAAGCCACCCACCAGCTGCAGGAAACCAGCCACCTCCAGGGACAGCAGCCAGCAACCCCGCCCCCCTCCTCACCATCTCACTGGTCAGGGGTCATGACCCAAGTGAGCCAGGGACACTGAGGGTGCTCTGCCGTCTGCAGAGGGGAGCAGCAGGGGTCAGTCACCCCCAGGAGGAAGCCAGGTGGTCGTGAGAGCAATGATCCATTCACCACCCTCCCCAACCGGAGCTCCCAGCCCTGGGGCCGGGGAACCCTACCTTGGAGTAGGCCAGCTGCCGGAAGGCCCTGCGTGCCTCCAAAGGCTCCAGGAACTCCACGAGGGCGGTGACGCCACCTTCCGGCAGCAGCACGCGGCCCAGGCTGCCGAAACGGCCGAAGAGCTCCTGCAGCTCTGCTGCCAGCGTGCCGGCCGGGAGGTTCTTCACAAGCATGACTGTCTTGCTCCGTTCTGCGGCAGCCTGCGGGGAGAGGAGATAGACCCCCATGGGGTGACAGACCAAGGGCACAGGGTGGGATTACCTGCAGCTGAGAGGCCCCACCTTGGTGCATTTATTTAATCTGCGTATCCAATCACTTATCCATCCACCTAACCAACCGTTATCTACTAGCTGGTCTAGCATGTAACCCACCCACTCACCCATCCATGCCCCTAACCAGTGGTCTATTCACTGTCTATCCATGCATGCCTCAATAGCAGTCCAGTCATCCCTCCACCCATCCATCCACCCATGTCTTTAACCAGTGGTCTCTCTGTCCTTCCATCCATCTACCCATCCATCTATCCACTCATCCACCCACCCACCCACCAACTCAACCATGCATGCACTCACTCACTCACTCATCCATCCATCCAATTCGACCATGCATTCACTCACTCATTCATCCATCTATCCGCCCACTAACTCAACCATCCATTCACTCACTCACTCACTCACTCACCCACCCATCCACCCATCATTCTAATGTGAAAACCGAAGGCTCAAGGAGAGCTGCTCTGGGAGTCAGAGCTTCAGTCTACGCTCCCGCCACGGACTCAGGGTTTGGCCCCAGACCAGATACCCTCCTCCTTCAGGCCTGTGTCCGAACCTGTGAAATGACAGGCACCACCTCCCACTCCAGTGGTTACTACATGGGGAGGGCCAGCACAAGGAGGTGCTGACGGACTGTTCAAGTCAAGAAAAGTTAGGATCCCCAGAGGGACACAAGGTGTTCGTGGGTAGTGGCTGGTGGGCAGTGGGGACAGGAATGTGTGTGGGGAGACCCTGGGTCACCCCTAGGACCTGGGGACAGACTGAGGTCAGCTGGGCTGAGATGTCAGCCGCTGTGGCATTCCCCACCAGCTGGCCTGAGCGGGCAGGGAGACCCACCTGGCTGAAGGAGTCCAGACAGACCCCGTTGTCCACGAGGAAACGCCGCACTTCTTGGACGAGCTGGGTTTCACCCAGGGCCACGCGCACGGCCACACTGCCCTTGGTTTCCTGTGGGTCAGGCAAGCAGAGGAAAATTGGTCCCGTCTTCCCAATGGCCTCCTTGGTGGCCACCCCCTCCCGGGTGCAGCAGAAGAAAGGTCTGGACATCCGCGTGTGAGAGAAGCGGCCTCCGGAAGCACAGGTCCTGGCCGAGCCAGAACCAGCCTTGCCCCAGAGGAGGGGCAGGCCAGTGAGCAGAGTCCCTCCTCTCAGGTCCTGGAGACGGGTGGCAGAGTGAGAACCAAGCACATGGCTGGGTGCCTCTGGCAGGGGTGTGTGCCAGGGTCAGAGCAGAGTAAGGGCACCTCAGTTCTTCACCTGGAAAGTGTGTGTGTGTGTGTGTGTGTGTGTCGGGGGACGCACACACCAGCACCTACGTTCTAGGACAGCTGTGGGGAGCGGCAGGCAGGTACGCTGGAAAAGCAGAACTGCTCCCATCAGCACCGCCTCCTGCACGACAGTGGTCTCTACACCTCAAGAAGGCACCACCGGATCGGGGAGAACTTGGGGAGGCTGAGGGGACCACCGCTTCCTGCTGCCTTTGGGCTGGCTCGGTCCCACCTCCTGAGCCAGGCCCAGAGTCTGAGGGGCTGGGCAGGGGCTCACTCACATGGTCAAAGACTTGGCTCTTGGTGGCGTTATACTTCTGGGCGATGGCGTCAGCCACCGCGTTGGGCCCCATGAACAGCATGTTCCAATTGTGAGAGCTGAAGGGAAGAGGTGGGGCAAAGAGGTCACACCATGCCACAGGAAACTGGAGCCAGAGCCGGAGCCTTGGAAAAACAGGCTCACAGGCAGACCTTTCTGAGCAGGGCGAGCTACCCCCTCCCTCCAAGGCTCCCCCCAGGAGCCAAGTACCCAGGGCCCAAAGACTATGACAGAGATGACAGGATAAGCAACCCCTGACTTTGTTCAGTGGAACACCTAAGCCTCCACTGCAGGCAAACTCGGCCTGTACCATCGGCCAAGGGTAGAACTGCCCTGTCAGTTTCGAAGACTGTCACTCTTTAGGGAGTAGAAAGCCCTGTTTATCTCCTGTGGAGAGGCTGGTGGTTTCGAACTGCTGACCTTGTAGTTAGCAGGCCAATGCATAACCACGACACCACTATAGACAGGTGGTGGCTAATCCCACCCAGGTCTGCTGCCCGGGGATCAAGAATTCCAGCCCCAAATTACCACTGCCCCACCTTCCAGGCCCAATCCCCAGGGATCAAGCAGCACTGTGCAGTCATCGGGCTGGGGCGAGGCTGAGCACTGTCTGTTCTCTTGTGTGTGGGGTGGCCCCGAATCAGGCCCACTCAACGGATGCTAACATCACAAGGAACATTTGTCAAGCCCTAGCTCAGTGCCACCTACTAAGCACCTTGCGTTCAGTTCTACAAGCACTCAGAGGCGAGGTCTGGTGATTCTTCCCTGTTTGCAGATCAGGAAACAGAACCTCAGTGAGAGTATGGCGAGAGGCAAGGCTGTCGGGAGTGGTCACTCTGACAGGGGAGGGCCAGGGCTCAGAGACCAGGAGCAGGTGAGACAGACCTGGAGCTGTTGGCCTTGTCCTTGACCTCCTTCTTCTTCTTGTACGATGACGAGCCTGGGGTGCTGGTGTCCTCGCTGGCTTCTTTCTTGATGGTGGATGGTAACACATGGAGCATCCTGCCCTGGAGGGAGACAGAGGATGGTGGACTGAGAGAGAAGAAAAAAATCAAGCACATGGAAATGGAATAAGACTGTCTAAACATACTGGGCAATAGAAGAAACAAACAAGGAAATAAAAAAAAACTCTGTGAATCATACAAGAACGTAAACACAACATACCAACACCTTTGGGACACAGCAAAAACTGTGCTTAGAGAGCAATTCGTAGTAATAAATGCACACATTAAAAACAAAACAAAACAATTCAACACCTTCCCACATCACACACAATTACCGAAAGAGCAGCAAAATAAGCCTAGTCACTAGCAAAGAAGAAGTAAATATTAGAGTAGAAATTGAAGTGGAAAACCAGTAAAAAGACTCAACAAGGAGTTCTTGGAAAGGACTGGTAAGATTGCAAGCCAATGGCAAGTTGAAGATGAAATAGGTGACATCCAAAGAGGACCCACTGTAATAAAAAGGATCACAGGAGAATACTGTGTAGAAGAGAGAAGACTGTGTAACAAATTTGAAAACCTTGAGGAAATAGACACATTTCTAGAAACACACTACAAAGCTATACACCGATTGAAGTAGAAAACCCGAACAGACAGACCCCTAACAAAAGGAGAAATTGGCCAAGTCACCACAAAAATCACCTAGCAACAGAAAAAGTACAGGTCCAGATGGCCTCAGCAAACATTCAGAGAAGAGCTGTCACCAATTCTACTCAGACTATTATTCTAGGGTACAGAAAAGGACGGAAAACGCCCAAATTCAGCTGATGAAGCAAGCATGACCCGAGACCCACACCAGGCAAAGGCAACACTGGACAGGAAATGACAGACTGATACCCCCTCAAACACGGTGCAAAACTTCCACAAGATCCCAGCCAGTGGGATCCAGAAATACAATACACTGTGACCAAGGCGGAGGCATCCCAGGTACGCAAAGGTGGAATGGTTCAACCCCAGACAATCAGTGTACTCCATCACATACATAAAACGGGAAGAATCACATGACCACGTCAATTCAAACAGAGAATGCATTTGATCAAATCCAGTACCCATTCCCGACAAAAACACTCAACAAAGTAGGAACAGGAGAGAAATCCCTTAATATCAATAAACGGCACAGATAACAATACACAGATACAAAGACTCAGATACAATGGCCAAAGCTACGGTCGATGGAGAGAAACTGAATGCATGCCCCCTGCAGGCAGGAACCAAAGGTGCCGGTTGACCACCACTTTTTTTTTTTTTTTCTTA